ACTAGATTCCTTTCCCCTTTTATTATGCATCTATGGTTATTGACTATTTATTTATTTATTATATGTTTCTTGTTGCTAAGTAGCTAGGGAATTAAGGGTATTAGTATTGTTAGTGTGTCTGGGACACAACGTTAGGATATTTGTTTGTACTTTCTGGTGCCTTTTGTGTTAATAAATCAGTTAGTTCATTTCTTGTTAATGATTACGGCCCTTTGCTAAATTGGCTAAGTGGATTCAAAGTCTCTCCCTTGGCTGTAACATTTATGGTGCCGATTGTGTGGATTTACAAAAGAAAAACCGTATTCAATTAGTACCTTGTGTGGATGAATAAAGACTAATAGGAAATAAAAGTCGATTAGTATAGAAATTTTAAATAATAAAACGAAAGCAAAAATTAGAACGAAGATCGTGTGTCGGTAAAATTGTAATACTAATTAAGTGGAACAAAAGCCGAAGGTCGGCTTGTGCTAGAAAAACAATTGGATCAGTAAATACGACTCGAATTAGCGTTGTGAAGATTAATAATATAATTTGAATAATTAAGTAAATTCCGGATCCATATTGTGTTGAACGAAATCATAAAGACAATAAAGAAGCGAAGGATATATTAGCAACGGAAATAACGAACATACCTCTAATCGGCGTCGTGTTAGATACAACAATTTGGAAGTCGAATAATTAAGTAATTGGATTTGTTTTGCGTTGGGAAGAACTATTAAAGATATTAACGAATAACGACCACGGCAAAGAGATAAAGACCCTGAACATACGAACGAATCGATTCAAGGATAGATAATAGATTGGTAGATGTTGAACAGGATGAACAGGACGAACAGGACAAATACCTGGGGATGTCCGATGAATCAAACCAACGATAATAGGCAAGAAGGATACTCAGCACATATGCAGAGTGATGATCATCTGTTTGAAGAATCAGGCTTTGGAGCTAACCTTGATCCTCCGATGAACCCAACCCATGTTCAACCACCCTGGGATCAACTCCTTGAGCGTATGACGAATCTAATGGCAAGGCAACAAGAACCCCCACGTGAGCCGAAAGAACACCATTTCGTGCATATACCAGTCTTTACGGAGACAACCAAGACCCTATAGAATGGCTGGAGGCAGTGGATAGGGCGTTTGAAGCTAATAATGTAGTAGGAAATCGAAGACTTTCAGTAATTGGCGCATATTTCTCTGGGCTTGCGGCATTTTGGTGGGAAGGACAAAGAGCAAGAAGGCCGGGTCTACAACACTGGGACAACGGGTTGTATCCGGATCAGAGCTTTGTACATCAATTTTATTCAAATTTTTGTACACATGCTTTGATAACACAATGGAACGCAGAACTATTGGCCAGAAAGCAACGTGTCGGAGAAACGGTCAACCAGCATGTGACGGATCTGTTGACCTTGTTTTGTCGAGTAACGAAAGTAGGTAATCAATACCCTGAAATTGTAAAAGCACAAATGTTTGTGCAAGGTTTACGTCCCGATCTGTCAATGACCCTTAGTCCGTTTATGCCAAGTACGTTGCAAGAAGCAATCGACCGAGCTCGGACATGCGAAACGACGTTCGCAAGAGGCTTGGCTACGTGTGGACCTGCGGCGATTTATAATAATGTAATGGGTCCTTCGCTTCAACCACCTTACCAGCAGCAACAATGGATATCGCCGCCGCAGCAGCAATGGACATCACAACCGCAGCAACCATGGACATCACAACCACAGCAACAATGGATGCAGCAACCACAACAACAATGGATGCCACAACAGCAGCAACAATTATTGCAACCTCAAGTATCAATATAGCCATTCATATCGTTTCCGTCGCAACCATCAGTGTTGAACCTGCCGTCGAATAATGTGCCGCCGGATTCTATGAACAAGATGATCTTTTTGTTACAGGAGGTGGTAACAACGGTCAAAGGTGGCGCCAATAATGCTAATAATAACAGCCGCCCTGTTATGAATGAGAATCGAAGAGAACGAAGTGGCCGTGGACCTATTTGTTTCACGTGTCAACAACCAGGCCACTATGCAAGAGAGTGTCCAAACGTTGTTCGACACCGAAACGATGTTAGAAATGCCCCACCTGTTCCGAATTTTGATACTAGAGGCCCTGTTAGAAATAATGGCAACGCATCTGTAAACAATGGTTTGCAAAATCAAGCAATGATTGCTCAAGTCGAGGAGAAGTTCTAACGTTTAAACTAAAGGACGCACCTTTTGAGGGTGAGTGTGTGTCGACGTCTACAAATCCCTTAGTGCATAAAATCGAAGAGGCCTATCTAGCAAAACGACAACGAAAAGATAATGAGAATCTTGACGAAGTCGCGGCCTCACCTCAAAACGAACCTGGTGATAAAACCGATCATGTGAATAAAAAGCCGAAGGTTGAGAAGAAAAAACGAACGAAGCCAATCGATCCACCTATAACAACTGGAGTACAACCTTATTCGATTTTGTCAGATCTGCAAGAAAAAAAAGCCGATATAACTTACGCGCAGTTATTTCAGGCTGCTTCCGGTGTTCAAAAAGAAGCCCTCAAGATATTGCGTCCTGGAAGAATTACCAAAGCAAAGTTTATTGATATTCGTTTAGGTCGAACGAATAATGGATATACGACCTCAATGTACTGCGAAGCCCAGGTGAACAACATGCCGATCATTTTGATTTTGGATAGTGGATCTTCAGGCTGTGTCGTCTCTGCGGGTTTCCTGAAAGAAGCCGGTATTGCTATTAATCGTCCCTTTACCGTGTTGATGACTGGAATCCACGGTGAACAAAAACGGCCGTTGGGTGAAGTTGACCATTTCCCTGTAACTGTGGGAGGAAAAACCATTACATCGAAGGCTGTAGTAACGGACGCTGCGAATTATGCTACAATCGTTGGAAACGATTGGATGAAGAAAGCCAGAGCGAAGCTGGATTGGGAATCATGTGAACTCACGATTATAGATGACGATAAAGAAATAAAAATCCCGACTGAATATTGCAAGCCGGCGAACATTGGTGATCGTATTCAAGCAAAGAATCCAAGTATCGATACAGCGAAAGAAAAGAGCAAAGAAGTAGAAATGAATCGGATAACGATTACGATAATAATGATACTAGTTCTGATGATTCGGAAGAAGATACTGATGATGACGAAGCATTAATCAACCAGGAGTATTTCTTCCACAAGCTTCGTCCTATAAGGACCTTTGATAAAGTTTGCAGCTTGTGTATGAAGAACGGACACGATATTAGTAATTGTGCTGTAAAGGATCGAAGTGAGAACGATTGGGCGGTGTGCTTGTTAAGTGAGACGAAGAATTCGACACATGGGTTAAACGTCGGTGAGATGACTGTGCAGCAAAACCAACGAATGTTGGAAATGTTAAAAAAATACAAAGATCTTTTTGCGCGTGAACTTCACGAGTTGGGTCATACGATGGTCGTGCAGCATGAAGTTCATACTGAAGAAGGTCCTCCGATCAAGCAACGCTTTTACCCTACCTCGCGCGTTGAGCACGAATTCATTGGTCAGGAAATTCGACGTTTGGAAGAAACTGGGTTGATAAAGCCGTCGAATAGTCCTTGGGCGTTTCTGGTCGTCTTGGTGAAAAAGAAGAATAGAAAGTTACGCTTTTGCATTGACTTTCGCAAATTGAACAAGAGAATGAAGCGAGATAGTTACCCGCTACCCCGAATAAATGAGTTACTAGGGGCCTTGAAGAATTCGGCGTGGTATACTATGTTGGACCTCGCTAGCGGCTTCTGGCAAGTCGGGATGAACTCTCGGGATCAAGAAAAGACGGCGTTTACGATGAAATACGGTCTTTACAAATTTGTGGTGATGCCATTTGGTTTGACGAATGCTCCCGCAACATTTCAAAGGTTGATGGATCGTGTGCTCAAAGACGAGTTGTGGAAATTTGC